TCACTTCCCAGGGCAAGTGCAACTTCCCTCTTTCCTCCCCCGCTTGAAAGTTCCCTTCTCTCACCACAAAACACAATTATTTCTATCTATGCAAATAAGAATTCTAGTGTGAGGTGGTGCACTCATAATATAGATTTATTTTAGTGAATAATTTTGTGAATTAAATTGCTACAATAAGTGCTTAATTAAACTAAGCACCAACATAAACTACTCATCTCCTCTGTAAATTTATCTTTACTCACTTCATATATACCATGTGGATATTGAAATCTATACCACCAGCCCAATTCACTTCTAAAAGTAACAGTATGATTTCTATAATCAATTACTGCTGAGTGTTTCTTAAGCCAGTCCATCCCAAGATATATGCTCTCTGAATAATCTACTATACCAAGAAAAGTTCTACTTTCTGAAAAACCTCCCAAGTTATAAAATAAATTCTCAGCTCCATAACCATATTTTAGTTGAACTTTTGCAGTTAACCTTTTCCCAAAATACTTCTGATTCTGAACTGCTTTAATTCCAAGTTTCTTAAGAAGATCAAGTGATATAGCTGATATATCACAACCATTATCTAATTCAATTCTGATTTGATGATCATTGATTCTCCCCTTATACTCCACGTCGTAAAAAGGAGGACATATATGCTGATTTATTCTTTTGTATTTTCTAGACTTGAATAAATTGTAATTACCCCTGAGGCAATATATAATACCATTTACCTCAAAAGTTAGATTATTTATATTGCCACTGCAATCCAATTTTAAGCAATGTTGATGCATCCAAGGTGAACCTAAAATTATGTCGTGATCAAGAATCACTGGTAGGACAGTCAGAGTTGTTTTCAATTCACAATCTTCCACCATGAACTTGAAATCTTTAACCCGTGAATTAATATCCACAGTAATATTAAATTCGTTGACTAGTCTTTCTGAAATAAAATCACACTCACTACCAGAATCCCAAAGAACATTGATTTTCTTCTCCAACCCTTGATCCCCATATAACCTTCCAAAAGCTTCTGCCATCAAACCCTAAATTTACAAAATCCTGGAGGGGGAATTTATACCTTTTTTTGGTAGATCCCTTTGACCAAAAGGATCACAACCATACCTTTTGAGGACGTGTCATAAAAAATAACGCGAGATCGTCTTAGCAGCCACGGGCAGCAGCGGATACTTGGCATCCTTGCCGTTTTTCAAGAGAACCAGACGATCGCATTGGCTCCGTCCTGTGGGTGGGTCTTTGTGTACGACCACGACGATCACAAAGTCACCTTTCACCGACGAGGAGCCATTGATTCCCGAGATTGCTGCCAGCAACGAGGGCCTTCGAGGCTGTTTTGCTCAGTGATCTCTGTGAGCCTAGCAGGAAAGCTTACGTATAAAAATCCGAAAGTTTGAGCTTCGAGGGCCGCTTACGCCGATCAAACCTGCCGAGAACATCACAAAGCGAAGTCTCCGCACCGTGTCATCAATCCTGTCCATGGAGATGAAACCTTCCTTCACCAGAGACGTCAGAGTGCCGATGAACTTGGTGTACTCGTACGGGGCACCATGATGAAGCAAGAAGTCATTATCTTCTGGAGAAACGAGTAGAAAAAAGAGAGCTCCGGTTGGTAAACTGGGAGAGAAGAAGCACGCATTTCTCACCATGTCAATTCCACTGAGACGAGAACTGTGTAAGTATGTGCCGGGTTTTGTGATCCTGTCAATGCCTTGCCAATCAGGGATCACGAATTCCTGTTGGCACAGTTCATAGTGCTTGGAGCAAGCCGCAGCTAGGAAAACCAAAAGAAAAAGTTGTAAGAACTCTTGGTCATTCTCCGACGCATAGAACTCCTTTGGCAGGGGCCTCACCTTGAAGCCCCGAGATAATCGTCGTCATAGCCTTGACGAGCTGCGGCTTCTCGCTGTAGCATCTCCTGAAGCATCGGCCCCATCTTGGATCCTGGCAAACCTGGAAAACAAAGACTTGGGATCAGAAAAGAAAAAAAGCAAATCGCTTGGCTAGAAAACAAACACTAAGTTCATCTCGATAAACAAGGAAAATCCGTAAGAGAAGAGATATCGAGTAGGCTTGCTCTTGCTTACCCGGCCGATCCAAGGCTTGATAGACATTGTGAACAGCGTCGATGCCATGGTGACGCAAAACTGCTCTCCAGATTGTTGGCGACAGTCAAAGCTTGCAGCATTCTCGCGAAAACGCTGTGGAAGCTCCGGCTCGCTAGAGTCTCTGCGCCAGGAATTGCTTGGTGGATGAGCAGCTCTCCTCAGCGCCGCGAGATCCCACAACCCTAATCCCAATCTCCATCGCCCCTTTTACGCTGCCGAGCTCCCGCCACGTGGCGCGCGGGAAGAATTTCGTTTTAAAGTGCCTTCGTTCACTTTAGGAGTTTATTGTGTTTGTGAGAGCCCGAGCAAGCGAGCGAGCGAGCGAGCGATCGATCGAGGGAGATATGGCGAATCCAAGTGACAAGAAGGGGAAGAGGAGGACGCCCGCGAAGAATCCACGCGAAATTTCGGTTGTGCAAGAGCGACGCAACGCATTGCTCCAGATGGAGTGGGAGGCGGCTGCAGCAGGTTGATCCTCTTCTGGTTCTTGCTTGATCATCCACATTTCTTGTGCAATCCAGCACGCAAGCACGGAGAACCAGACCAGGGCGAAGACGATTTCCAGAACAAGCGAGATCGGGTCGCGGCCGAGCACCAGCAGGCCGACAGCGAGCTGGCCGGAGACAATGGCGAGCGTGACGAGCCCCAGGGAGGCCGCAATGAATCGCACGACCGATGTGGCCTGGTCGATGCGCTGCTCATGATTGTCCTCGTCGCGCTCGTCGCGCTCGTCGCGCTCGTCGCGCTTGTCGTGCTCGTCGTTGTCTCTCGATTCATCCTCGATTGAGAGACATCGATGTGATTCTCTGCGATCTCCATTTCTTTCCAGAAAATATTTCCCGCTTTGAGAAGAGGGTCTAGGGTTTAATTTAGGGTTCCTCGAGGTCTCGCGAGAAATGCGCACAATGCGGTGCCATTCCCCAGCTCTGATAGTTCTCTACAAGCCACGATCCAGGTACTATTGTCTATGCTTTATAATGAATGATCTATCGTGTTTTCTTTTCAGGGTGGAAGTAAAGTCGAGAGGAGGCTAGTCTCCATGATGAGTTTGGCTCTTCATTTTCGAATACAAAGAGCCTCCAAGATTGGTATTCACTATTCGCTTTTGCTATGAACCCTGCAGTGATCTCGCTAACAATGTACGTTCATCGTCTCGGTGCTTCACGGTGCGTTCACCTTTGTCTCGCTGCTCACGGCATGCAGCCACGCCGGGCTGGTTGACAAGGGACGCGAGTTCTTCGAGGCCATGAGCAGCGAGTATGGAGTGGCTCCAAACGTCCAGCACTACACTTGCTTGGTGGATCTTCTGTGCCGGGCAAATCGGCTAGACGAAGCGCTCAAGACCGTGGAGGCGATGCCTTGCAAGGCGGACACGGTGCTGTGGACGGCGCTGTTAAGTTCATGCCTCAAGTGGAGAGATGTGGAGCTTGGCAGGATGGCTTTCCAGTCGGTTCTCAAGCTCGACGATGGAACAGGCTCCGCGTACTCTCTCATGTCCAACATCTATGCGCGAGGTGAGTCGGATTTACAGCTCCAAGACAAAGCTCCATAGTCATGGGAAACAGTCATGGGAACGATTGAATGCTCGACTGACTGACGCTACTGTTTTAGAGAAACGACTTGTTTTACTTTCACTTCCATCTCAGGTTGCGTTGTTGTCTTTCTTTCTTATCAGTAACTAACAAAGATTTCCCTTCTGGCAGGCTGAGCTTTCTCCGCTGTTAAGTCGGACACTTTCGGCTGCTGCCAATTCCTGAAACGTCGGGTCACGGTATTCGATAGGCGCTGGTATATCCCGCACAAAGGTGATCCTCTTCATTTTTTACGTTGTTGCTCCTTCACACAAGTCGTCCTCACCCTCCAGGAACAAAAACAAGGTGAGACCCCGTTTTGACCCGCATTTTAAAACCGTAACGATGGCAACATCTCCTTGAATGGATAGACACCAGCACAGCAGCAGCCATCCATGGTGAGCACTCTTCTTTTCTCTTTCACTTTTCGCGTTTTTTTCTCTTCTTATGCTGCTGGCCCGTGCATGCTTGCTCGACTACCTTGCACTAACGCTAGGCTTTTTTGCTTTTGTAGAGGCGGGGAGCTTGCGGTGCCTCCCAACCACCAGCGTTTCGAGGTTAGTTTTTGTGTCGAGAACGTGGGCTCGTAAGCTCTCGCGTTTGTTTAGTTCTCGCAGCCAGCGTAGTTTTTACAGTCTTCCTGGATGCTCCAGGACAAAACTAAGCTTTTCTGGGTCCATGCAGAGCAGCGTTTCTGTCTCGTTATAGTCTTTTTATTCTCCTCCTCGTGATTACATCCATCATTGTTTTTGAGCTCCACTTGCCACCCGCTTATGAGTTCCACTAAGATCACCATCTAAACTTCCTTTGTTTTTCTTCTTTTAACAGGCAGGCATGGGAACTCGAGAGAAACGAACAGAACACAAGCGAAGAACAAGGCTAAAACAAGGTGAGGTATGTAATCGTTGCCTAATCCTACAGCAAAGCATGGAAGTTTCTGGTCCCATTGGCACCCCATGTTCATCATTTTCTCGCTCAACATGCCTTTGTCAATGAGCGTGACCTTCCAACCAGCACTAGCCTTGTTTAATCGTAAACAAGCTGCTCCAGCCAGCAAAAGTGCCAAGAGCGAAGAGCCTTAAGTTGTGACCATGGATTTGTCACTCGTGTTGGTAGAGCCAGGAACGCTCGTGAGCAAAGTGTTTTTTTCTTCTGTCTTGCTTGGCTTGCATACTTTTTGTGTGTCGAATGAGCTTCCCTTATCCTTGCGAGTGTTTTCTCGAAGCGGCTGTCAAAAAGCTTTGAAGAGCCGATCCGATCTCTCCAAGCATGTGTTGTGACTTGGCTCGTAGAAACTTTGTTTAATCCATGAATTTGCATCTTACACGGCAGGAAGGAGAGCGCTTGAACGTGGATGATGGTGTGCCTTGGATCAACGTAGCTAGTGGAAGCAAGCAAGTTTAAAAAATGGAAGAACGAGGTAAAAACACTGACAGCGAATGAATGAGACGATGAAAGCGTTTTGATCCTGCGATTTCTCCAGGTTTGCGGACATGGTGAAAAGCTCGCTCTCGGTGGTGTAGTAACTTTTGGGCGCAACAAGGACATCGATGTTGTTTGTGTTGGAAATGTGGTATGGTTTCTCTTTGCTTTTAGTTCTTAGGACTTTCCCCTTCAAATGGTTGTTTAACTTGGTATAGTTTTTTAGTTTCTTCAGAGGGCCCGGGAGATGTCTTCCATCCGTCCACAGTGCGATTCATGCACCAGCAGTGTGCATCAACACACTCACACACCAAA